GCTTTATTCCACCCACTACCTGCCTCGGCCAACATCGCTCGCCGTGGCAACCCAACTGGTAACATGCGTAACACATGCTCGAACCAACGTAATCTATGGAGGTTGACCATTTGCTCAGTGGGTAACCGCGGTCATTTAAAACTCTGCGCGTAACCTCAGCATTACTAGTCCGGGTTCCCCACCAGATTCGTGCAATGCTGAGTAGACAGCGGTGTTCAAGCACCGACCATCTATCTTTATCCTGTTTCCTAATGGCTAATTTTCTGCTCTATATAGCAGTACTGACCGAATTGTCGCAGTATACACTCGACCGGTAACAGACAGCCGGATGTAGCGACAGCGCTACAGATGTCTCAAACTGGCAAATGCCAACCGAACCTTCTGTATGCGAGCTGGCACTTCATCCGCGATGCGTCTACCGGATGAGATGCAGCTGCCCAAATAACAAAACTTATCCACTTGCTCTATTACTGCTCCAGTTAGAGTGAGTCTGGGTGCTGGACTGACCCAGCATGAAGTAACACTTTACACCTTAAAGGTGCAAAGTTTATACAGCAAGTAACCTTGCACCTTCGAGCAATGGTTTCCTGTGCCGTCCCTCACCTGCCCATTCGGTTAAATATTGACGAAAGGGTAGACGGAGGAAATGAAAGGCTGAGAGCAGTAAAAGTAAATGTGTGAAGAAATTCAGTAAATGCACGAGTGCTACGGTTAACGACAATCGACCAGTGTCTCTCGACCTCTTGTCACACTGATGAGCAATCGGGAAGCCCGAAGCGATCTGCATACACATTGATGAATATCGGTAAGCAATGTATAACTGGACACCATCGAACACATCTGCAGAGGGGATTAATTCATTTATATTGCGCGTCGAATTACCCAGTGCACATTAATGACAGCACTCAAAGTGAGTTCAATAGCACTACGTGCCCTCAGGGATAAATTTTTGGTGGGTAAATCAGTTCGGCAATTGCATAATCTAGATGGCTTCGTCTTCTTGTATAATGACGGTTTGTGTTCCCATTACACTGAATTTGATCACAATCGATGGTTTGTTCGGTTACGCAAGAGATAGCGTTCACTGCATCACGGCAGCATACTTCACTTACCCCGAGTGTTCCATATCTTCCAGTTCGTTCGCGAGTTGGGCTAACTGGGCCCGATCAGTTGGACTGATTTTCGGTTTGTTCATCATCAAATATTGCAATTTCATAAAATTCTTTAAAACCGATTTGTATTTGGGCTCGCGGGTTAGACTAAGTTTCATTGGGGTATAGGTCATGTGTACAATCAAGGGATAGATGAGCACACAGTCCGACGGTTCCCCAGCCAGCGAACGACGATCCAGTTGATCTATACGAATGGCGGCCGGTTTCTGCCGGCGTTCAGTGGGGTGGGGGAGGAGACAAGAATCGGATCAGCAGAAAGTGGGGAGGTACAGACTTTAGTGTAAACTAGATGTCATTTTTATGCATACTGTACATGATTACACGTTACACTTAGCAATACTATAAGAAGAAGGAATGATGAAAACGTAAGGTGATTAAAAAGTATAGAAATAATATATTGGTGGACGAAAGTTATGATATAACGAACAATTTTGTCCGTTGAATTTCGTTAGTTCACATCACCCGGAAAACACAAAGACAACCAAGAGATAGTTCACGATTTTTTATTACACCGACATGTGATGGATAGCAGAAGGGGTTCAACTCCAGAGTCACGAAGACCCGCTGTTCCGTGATGGTACCCGGAATCCTGAGCCCCGGGACTTGGAGTGGCGAACCACATAAGGCCCCGCTAGGTCAGGCATGCTATTGAACCGGGCGACAGCAAAAATTCTGTACGAGAATATGATAAATTATAGGCTACAAAACATCAACAATCGACCTGATTCTATCTCAAACGGGAACATATTCAAGGAGTAAAAAGAGATGTCAGCACCAAACTATGTGAAATGGTACATCTATCGCGTTCAGTAAGACTGATCACACTGCGCTGTCCTGTGTACGAAACGTAACTTTTCTACGGCTATCAAAGCCACCTGATCTAGTCTAGTCTGCTTGCATATGATCTCTGAGTATTTCCGACCAATGCGATACATTACCATCCTTACATTATACACAAGTACATGCAATAAACTCAGTGAGAAAAACAGGAGAAGAAACATCACTCCAAGCGGTGCTTTGATGAGCAGAACGATGGGTTAGCGATTATACAAAGCATAACACAGATGCCGATTATTCTGATGAAACATGGTGAGTGGTGAGATGCGAGTCCGCTTTCTCCACTGAGTTCGGAATTGACCAAAAGATATCCGCGTGATGCATTCACTATGCATCACGCGGATATCTTGCGATAGTCCTACTTCTGTTACATGTCCAGAGCGCCAGGTATTTCATTCTCGAGCTGACTTGACTTGTAGCATACTACTACGCAAAACTAACTATGCTGAGTACACGTGTAATTTCTAAGAAAAAGATATACACTAGCCATCATGAGTTGATACAATTTAGTTGTAGCTGAGACCGCGTAAAGTGAAGACTCGGTTATACAGAATAAACATGCATAACGTAAAGAATAAATATCTATTTCATTTCACCAGTTAGGGATACAATGAACGAAGTAACGCTGGTGCATCACACTAATCGGGAAGTGCAATGGGATGTATAAGGAATGGTCGTGCAAAATCAACGTGCCACTCACCACACAAACAGGATTCTGACAATATGCACAGTGCGGAAAGCGTTCAAGTTGAGGATTGATATTTTGACTACTGATCATGATAGAGTAGGCATAATTGAAAAATCTAAATTGTCAGCATGGGCAGTGGAGTGATGCATGAAACCATCGATCAGGATGGATTCGATTGAGATAATGACTACAATGAATCGTAAAATGCTTCTGAACCTCGTCATCTACAAAAGATCGTCACTAAAACGGTTTACTTTTTACCAACAACAATATCAGTTTCAGTTTGAACAACCGTTAGGCATGCACTTTAGTGCGTTGGTTTTAGTTCGTCTTTTGGCTGCCCATTTAGAGGAACATCAGCAGAAAGACCGAAAAGGTTGAGAGTAGGGTCAAATAGAAGATGGAGAATTTCAGTGGACCAATGTTGCAAAGAAATTAGGGAGATGCATTTACCAACACCCCAGGTGATGGTATGTATACCTAAATTTTTAGTGAATAATGATCACTAACAAACAATCTGTGATCAAAGCAGAAGAAATGACATGAGCGCAGGTGAAACTGTGGATGAACGACGATTAAACGCAAAATGAATACGAAAATTTATATGAAAAAGAGGAATTTCGGTGGAATGGAGCAGTCACTGTTATTCAAAACGAGAGTCGCACGTTGGGAAAAGGATCCAGGGGGGGGGCGCAACACAGGTGATAGCCCAGACAAATGTACGATAAGAGCAAAGTACAACATAAGAGAGAAAATTTTAATTATTCATGCATGCATTGGGAGAAAAATTATTACTAACATTGACGAATCTGGTCGGAATGAGTACATCAGAGGAAGCAAACATATAGAAGATTATCGCGGTCATAGCTGTGTAACATACTGCTGATCCAATCTTTGGGTAAGGCCCGACCACTTACCACTCCAGATATCTAACTAGGGATCCAAATTGTAGAACAGAAATAGCCGAAAAATGATAAAATTGATCAATTTCACACAATGCATACTCACTTTTCCAGGAAATGTGGCTAATGTTCCACGCAGATCAGCAATACACTTGGACCACTGGGCATTGCTGTATCTTTGAATGGAAGACAACTGCATCACATCAATGACCGGGGTGAGAGCTTCTCGAAGCAAATAGTCTAACACCGCATTAATCGGAAGTATTTCAGCCACCAATTCTGTGCTCACTGTGGAGCAGGGCGGCTCATCCGAATGTTGATCACTGGGCAAGGTTAACGCGGGCGAAGGTGCTCGAACGTGAACAAATCGTGGCATCAGATGCACGACAGGACAACCCTCCGTTACTCCAACCGGTCGCCAACAAAGATCAAGCAATTCAAGCAGTTCCACAAACAAATATTGGGTCAGGAGGTCTAAGGCACGGACTGTGAAAAACTGAAGACAAAAGTGGTGGAAAATTTGGTAGTTCATGGCAAAAAAACATGCTCAAATGCAACTGTAAAGTGTGCGAAAACATAAACTAACCTCGGGAAAATCCTCTTCGACTGGGAAAATATCGTACAGCAAGTTAAACCGAAGAATTTGGCAAGAAGGCACCTGGGGTCGGAAAACGAATAAAGTGATTAGGAGAGAACGAGGCATTTTTTAACTTATGCTTATAATAACGGAAACAAGATGATATAGATTATGCTAAATAACACACTAAATACAACTTAAATAAGTTTCATTTACCAAATGAGTCAAAGGAACAAATTTTCAAGTGTATCTCTTATAGGTACAAGGCAATCAAATGATGACCTCCATACGCCTCAGTATGGTCGGGGGTGGGTGCCTACCAGGGTTGCGGCTGGTCACCCTTCCCTTGCATCTCGCTACGTGCTCCCATACGACCAAGCGTCTCAGCCTCTACCGAGGAAACCCTAATCACTGCCTTCTTGTGGAGGAGATGTTTTCACACCAAGGTGAGAGGACGACAAACCGACATCCGGGGCTAAAACCGGCTTGATGGACCGCTGGTAGTTCACCTAGGGGAGTTGGCCAAAAACCTGATTCCAAAACAACCATAAGGAGGCATATGAACCACACACACCTTCCCGGTTGTGGCGGTTGTGGTCACCGGCTCGATTGGGCATCGAGGTTTATTGGGCACCTTGGACGTTTGACTCCGTCCAAAGGGCGGATGATCCGATGAACTAGACACCGGCCCCCATTAGATTGCGGTTTTGCCACACAGCCTCTCTGCCTTGCGAGTGAGACTTTGGCTAGTCGAAGGCTACGGTTGTGGATTCCTCAGGAAAATTCACCTGACTTGGTCCGGGCAACCTGGCCGTATTCCGCCCACATGCAAATCATGGAACGTCTTTCTTTTTCACAAAGATTATTGTACGATGATTTGTTTGGAACACCGTGCGAAAATATATAATATACAAATCAAATAATTGAGTAGGAATAGAAAAATCGATCTGACGGCTACTCACGTTGTCCAGTTTGTAATGCAGAAAGATGGAAAAGCCATCGAACACATAGTCTTTTCCCTCGCAGTTGATCTTAGTCGGTACGGGTTGAACGAAATTAGTCGTTGGTGAAACCATGACACGATAGTGATAGAGACGAGTACGATTATTTGATTCCGGTGAACAAGCGGGAACGAGCTGAAACGAACGGAAAGTGATGAACAAAGGAGGGGGATAAGCAATCGGGTAGAGAGCAATCCAATTTGTCATATCATTAAAAAGGTTGTCCTTTCAGTGTTGAAAGAGTTCTTTTACATTATCCTCTATTCGATGTGTGACGTGAAGCAAAGGAACTAGATGCGTTTACTCAGGTGTTTTATATTTAGATTAAACTCATTTAAGAAATTGTTTCACTGTATCTCAAAGTGCACAATTAGCTATCGAATACCCCAAAAATAATAACATTTTGACTTTCATTAAACCCTTGGTGAACAGAACAGAACCTACTGGTTAACTGTGATAACCGCAAACTAAGGCTTGGAGTGACGAACCCAGTACACTTATTATGATAGGCGAGGTACCGAGCTTAACAACAGCGAAGCGGTTTACAACCTCAAGTTGGGATATCGTGACTGGGTTCAACTCTCAAGCGTAAGGGACAAAAACACAACAATACTAACGACTTCACCTGCTTGACCACTACCAATACTGTCATGGTAGAAGTTGGGTAAGCGCAGCTGTTTGATTTCTGTAAAAGAAAACAAACCAATCATACACGAGGACCAGTGGCAGTGGCGCAGTGGTTTAGTCGCTGTCACAGACGCCCTTTGGACCCCATGGCTCGAGGTTCGAGCCCCGTCACCGCCACCCAACTTTGGTGGTACGCAGCTCTCCTGTCGTCCGGTTCAATACCACACCTAACCTATCGGGGCCTCATGTGGTTCGCCACTCTAAGTCCCCGAAATTAGGTTACCAGTTTCCATCACTGGACCTCGTGACTATGGGGCTTTCCCCGTCTGATGCTCATCACACGAAAGTATGTAATAAAAAAGTGACATGAATAATACTGCGCCTCAGATGATTCAGCACAATACACAGTGTGCACGCGTCTATCGGAAATCCCGCAAAACATCCTTCCCTCTGAATTAGTTCAATCAAAACACCTCAAGTCATCCGAACAGAAATTGGCCAATTTTATAATCTCCGAACTTCACTCACCTCCTCACCCTCGTATTGATTGTGCGGTGGACCGATACGATATTTCGATTGGCATAAGCAAGCCGGACCATCGTTGAATTCCTGCGGTTCATTGTGCCAAATATCGGGATGTAATCGATTTGGATGTGACAGCTTATAGGCTACCTCTCGCTGCTGCCGGATACTGCGTTGACCGATGGTATGTCCACCAACAGCATTGAGTGGACCCTGTGTATCGGTCGCTGAGTCGTTTGCGGAATGCAATGAATGCTTCCTCTTTTTTCGTCTCGGAGGTTTGCACGGTGTTCGACTGACATTCTGAGAGGGAGAGAGAGAGAGTTGCCCGGTAATAATAGAGCTGGAGAATATTTGAGTTAGCAAAATAGTGAATCATGCTAAAACCGCTACCGTGTCTGAAGAGGGTAAGGTGGACGTAGGAAAACTGTATTTTTTGCCATTACAGGTAAAACGAGGAACAAGAACACGCTGCGCAAGTTAGGTGACATGTTGTTCTCTTGGGCTTGTGAGAGAAAAGATGACACTATGAGATCCATGGGAACAAGAGGTATGTGGTTGAACAGAGCTAGTTCAGGTACATGCGGATAGGATAAAAGACAAGAAATTAAATAGCATTGGCTTAACAAGTGAGTTACCGAGTAAACGTGACTACAAGGAACCGCTGAGGCGAAGCTACATGATACATGATAAGGGATAACATTCGGGAAGTCGTACACATGACAAATGCCTTTCTGCCTCCCCCTCCCTCCGCCGCGAACCGCCTAAGTATTTACATTATTG